GCGCTAGCCAATCAAACCGCGTGTAAGCAGGGAGAACCAGACCGCAGTTCATTTCCTCATATTCCAAACGAGAAATTACGGTAACAAATCACCCGGTTCTTTACGACCAGAACTATTAACGGGATACAAACCGGAGGAACCAGGCATGGTGGGAGGTGGCAGAGACAGTGGGTGAAACTGGTAGGTTTTCGTCTGTTTGGGGAGTTTATATATATATATATTGCTCGCATAAAATCCAGGGGTTTTTTGCTTTGTATGTCGGGGGCGGGAGATTCATGTGATTGGTTGTTGGTCGCGTTGCTCGCAAAAAATCCCCAAGCTTTCAGACACGCCCAGCTCCAAGATTTTCAAGATTTTTGAAAAGCTGCTGTGTGGACGTACCGTAAACTTACATGAAACTTCCGTTGGATTGCTTAAAAGTCAAGCTTCAGTTAAAGATTCACCCTTTTATATGTAGAACATGTGATGGAGCATTACTAACCTGACTCAGATGGTTTGTTTCACCAAACTATCTAGGAAAGCTCCATTGGAAGCCATTTGGAAAGGGCAGGCACTTTCAAAAGCACTTGGCAGGTGATTGGATCAATCTGTCTATCACCTTCTATCAGCCACTTCTGATTGATTAACAATGGCTGGTACATGTGGAGCACAGCACTTCTGATTGGTGTGGATGAATGACACACAAGAAGAAGAAAAAAAAATTGTAAAAACAAAAACAAAAAAATTGTAAAAAAAAAGTTTTAAAAAATCGCAGGCTTTGCGATTTGATAATCGCATCATCTCGAATCGCGATTTTGATTTAAAATCGATTAATCGTTCAGCCATAGATTAAATCAGCACATACTTCTGCCAGGGGATGCCACCCCTGAAATTCTCCTGCCACCCCATGAATATTTTTCTAGATCCGCCCCTGGTTGAGACAAAGTTCTACCTGTTAAGTTCTGGTTGTTTTGGTGATTTTCGAGATAAGCATGTCTAGCAATACGGGAGTTTCAATATCCCATATGTGAGACATCGAACGGAGTGTTATGAATGACAACTATAGGTTACTTACATAACCCCAGTTCTCAGAGTAACATGAAGTGAGATGTCTCACCGGCCCTTCTTGCTAAGGCGAAGCGAGAAGAGGTGCTTATTTTGAATGACGCTGCGTCGTAGCGCAAGCTACTTAAAGGGTGGGTGGATTCCCTGACGTTGACGTCAAGATCACCAACCAATCAGGATTGGCGTAATGAGATTGATGCTTCTGTTTGCATACGCGTTGAGGCGCATCCCATAGGCATAGTGAGACATCTCACTTCATGTTACTCTGAGAACTGGGGTTACGTAAGTAACCTATAGATTTATCTTCAGATGCATTGTGTCCATCGGCCGATATCCTTGCTTCATGTAGTTTTTGGGTTTTCTTTTAAATGTTATTTTTAAAAGGGCAGTATGAATTTTGATTTTTTGTAAAAATACAGCTTCTTTTTTTTTTAATATGTAAAACGTCTAACTGTGAATTTATGTGAAATGCTGTTTTGCATGTGATAACACACAAGTGCATATATACTGTATGTATATTTTTGTAAATAAATATTCCCATATATTCACAGAAGCAGAGAGTGCAAAGTGAAAAACAAAGTGCAAATAAACAAAATAATGTATTAAATTAAAGGTTATGAATAAGGTGCATAACCCAATGTAACAAATGACAGACAATCACGGAAAAAGGTAGTATTATGCTTTTACTAAATGATTATGTTATCCTTCCTTTTGGTTGCCTGTTTGGACAATGAAAGCCACATTTCCATCTTTCATGCAGCTTAACTTTCTGTATCTCTCTCTGGATACGTGTAACAAGCTAACCATGAAAACATAAGAAACACAAAATATAAAACATTAAACTAAAGAAAATGTGTCAGTGAAAGAATATTGTATCATGATCCCTGGTTCTGTCTATTACAAGGAACATTAGTCCAGAGCTCAATGGCGGGTGAAGGAGGTTTATGAGATGTTCCCTCTGGGGTAACTTGCAGCCATCGTGAGCCTCCTGACATTATGCAGTCGATTGTTCAGTGTGTGTGTCTTCTGAATTGACTTCCCTGAAAGAAGGGAGGGAGTGAAGGAAGTTGGAAATCTATAATAAAGGCAGTTTTCGAGCCACTCCATCATCTTTCACCCACACAGGGGGCGAAGCCTGCGAGCTAGTTCAGGCAGTCAACTCGAGCACTTATGCTGCATTCATATTGCCACTCTACAACCAACCAAACAAACACAGTCTCATTAATAAGCCGCTCTATTTAACCTGCCAGATATCACTCTATGCATTGCTTGCTGCTGCTATTGCTGCAGCTACTTCCACGTCGCTGCTGCTTGCCTGCCCCACCACCACCACCCCAGCTTCCACCTGTAGGCCCGGGGGGTTAGTCATCGTGCTATGTATATCTGTGGAGTGATGAGACCCGAGCCTACCTAGACGCCAAACTCAACTATATGCTGCTTCTAATAAACATGTTAAAGAACACGTGAGTTGTCTGACTGAACTGCCCTCATGTAATAAAAGTGTGTGTCCGCAGTGACCTCCAAATTGAACAACTACTGTGTGTTATTAGGCAGTGCCACAGCTGCTCTGTGATGGGTTTTAGTGTAACAGGCATGGCACCGTTCATCAAACATTCATATTAAGGGAGTCGATCTTGAGGCACTTAAGACATTTTTCATGATAATGCAGAATTCATTAGCAGCCTCTTGGCACCGCACTGCTCCAGTAAACACGGCGTTAGAGAACGCAGATTATGAATGATTTGTAAGAACAATCAGGGAAATGTTAACGTCACAGACAGAGGGACAAGGGTTGTTAAATAAAACGGTAGCTCTCTGCTGCCACCTGGTGCCTGGGAGAGGGACTACCACACTCATTGATCTTTAAAAGATTCCCATGTTGAAATATGCTGTCACTGAATCATTTAATATTATCTACGATTCTTCCTATAGGACAAATGTTCAGATAAATTAAAGAAAATTACATAAAATCATGTTCTTGTAATAGTTATTTTGAGTACATTGTTCTCACCACGTTCTAACAGGTACAAATAAAATAATTTGTTTTTGGTTTGAAAATAAAAATAAATCAGATTTTTTATTTTATTTCAGAAGGGCATACATGCAAATTATCAAAGGTCAGCTGTTACTACAGTTCCATCAAAGAATAGGACAAGTCAGGGAAACTGAGAAATAAGACTTTATTTTGCTCGTACAGGATAAATTGTCCAGTAAAATATTGGGAAGCAGTCAAAATAAACTCTTTAGATGAATGTATAGTCAGTGTGTCACAAATTGAACAGCAGCTGGTTGATTCTTAGATCTTGGACCGCAAATCAAAAAGATTTGTCCTCATGTCTCCACAAGTATTTGCATGGGTCTATTATACCATTCATCTTTACAACAAGAATAAAACAAATATTGATTATATTAGCAAGATATGGAAGTTGTCACTGTGACATCTCACATTAGAAACCTTGACTTAATCATTTTGGCCGTCAGCGTCTTCTTTTTTTTTCAACCATTTGCTGTCACACTAAAAAAGTCATCTTAAAATACAGAAAATCTAAACAGGCTACATTGGCTCTTTTAAAGTTTCATGTGTCTGGTTTTAAGTCAGTGCTATAAAAGCGTCTGGAGAGGAACAACTTTGTATTCAAAGGGGAGGCCGACTGCAGGTCAGTGATTCCCAGAGAGAGCAGGGTAGAGCTAGGTTGCAAAGCTGAAGGAAAAACACAATGCAAAGTCTTTACCTGCACAGAACAAAAGCAAAATTAGGTTGTTTACAAAAAAATACATGTTTCACATTATGACAAATCTTAAAATAATTTATAATTTCTTTATTTAAAAAGGCACAGTGTAGTCCAGCTCAGTGCTCCTGACTTGATTGTGATAAATATAGCAATGAAAACTAACTTTTTGTAAACAGTGTGTGGCACCACACTTTATGCATCAGCTCATCAATAGAGTGTGTCTAACAGCATTGTATTGACTAGGTATTGATTGTCTCTTTTAAGCAAAATGTGCCATTAAATAATGTTATATTAAGTGTAAGTAATGCAAAAGTATATGGTAATGTTTTGTGGTAATTATAATTTTGAAATTATTAAAAGTGCACAAAAAAGTACCTGTTGTTAATATTACTACTTAAAAAAGGCATTAATTACAAAGTTTTACATTTCAATTTCCTCAAGTGAACTTTAGATATGACTGAATATTAATAATATTACTGTGATCTATAGTTATTAGGAAGACTTATAGATTACCAAGTTTGTGCCCATAACAACTACATTAGGTATGTGTGTACAAACAAACGAAAAGTATCATTGTATAACAAGGTAAATAATAAACATGTAACTGTAACAGTACTTTGTTATTTATTGAAAAATGTTTTGAAATATTCAGAGTCTAACTGATCGGACATTTTACAATTGAAGATTAAACGTATCGTCATTGAACTCTAGTAGATAAACTCTGTAATGGTGACACTGTTAGAAAATGAGTCATTTCAGCACTCTGTGTTTGATGGCACTTTATTCCTAAATATACTTTCCCTGACTAAATTATATGAATAAAGTCTACATTTTTTAAATTTAAAATACTTTAACTTTAAAGCTATATATTAATTAAACTGGAAGATTTGAATGTCGAAGCAGTTCTATCTTTTTTTAGGTCATAGGCAGAGCTTAGATACTTAAGGCACTTTACAACATCAGCTGTTCAGTTGAAGGAACTCAACTAAACTCCCTTTCAGCAGCGTTCTCACTTTCTGGAAATACTCTGCAAAGTTTAGACGAGGCTCAACTTGAGGCGGATTATACAACCGTGCTGTGGTTGGTATTTTTGTGATATAATGGAGTCTTTTGCCGTTTCTTGAATTCGTCCGATTTATTTCTTCGTAGGCACTTACGAACAGAAGGTCTTGAATCCCGTTGTCTTTCAAGTTAGATATTTGTGATTTGTAGAAAACACCTCTATTTTACACCCTCAAATGTTTATTTTCTTCCGTGTTTTTGCAACAGTTTTATACCAACGTCATAAACACATACATTTGCAAGCTGTAAATCCTCCGGTCAATGAGCAGCTCCATTCACAATCGACATGACATAGTCTTACATGTTTCAGGGATCTTGCAGGTTAAAGTCAGTTCAATGTCCAGTCTGATATTCAGTTCTCTCACACAGTTCCTCCAGGTAATGTCATGTTTAGTTCAGGGTTTTCAGTGTATGGGTGAAAGGGCTTTAGATTCAGAGCCCACACTACTGATATAGTCCTCGAATGGTGAGCCAAACCAAAGTGGGCTGGAGGTAATCACTTTCAGACTAACATTCTTTGATGTCCTGCTTCAGCCACCGTGTCTTTAGAACTTCACCTTCCTGTCTGACCTTCTTGACATTGACACCAACATGTGCTCCCCCGCTATGCTAACCTTTTTGTTGCTGCGCTCCTTTATTACGGTGCGTCCTCTGTACGTGTCTCGCCTCCTCAGAGCTCCACGGTGCGCAGGTGTCCGCGGGGGGAAATCGCAGCTATCACGCTCTGAGGCAAACACTCCGACTGCTCCACGAAGCTGCTGCAACACGACCAGTGAGGCTTCCCCGGGTGTCCTTTGTGACCGTGACCGCAACCTTTAAATCCTCCTGCAGACACACAGACAGACAGGTGGAGACAGATATGAGTTTAAGAAAAAAAACTCCTGGGTTTGTACGTACATCCGGGCTCCAAGAGAGTGTTGATGACATACATGTAATCATTAAAGCACAGTTGTTCAATATCAGAGACATACAGTATTTGTCCTGTTTAAATAACAAGGAATCAGTATTATAAAAGGATATGCAGTTAGAAAGTAGACAGTAGGTGCCAAAACATCATCTTGTTAAAGTCTATGGTTAAAGTACATATTTCGTGTTATACTACTATATGACTTCATATCTATTGCACAGTGCAGTTTTTTCCATCCATTCAAATTGTGCATCCTTAGTCAAAATACAGCATGTCTACTGGCTGCACAATTCATACAAATACATAATAAACACGTGTGACACTGGTATGTGTGATTGTATCTTAAGCATCTCTGTTATGGAAGCACACAGAGAGTAAAATAATCAGATTACACCCATACTGAAAAAACCTGGACTCACACCTGACATGATGTCCAACTTCCGGCCCATCTCCAATCTCCCCTTCCTATCAAAACTACTTGAACGTGTTGTAGCCTCCCAACTGAAATCCCACCTTAGCTCCAATAACCCTTTGAACCCTTTCAATCAGGATTCCACTCAAAGCACAGCACAGAAACAGCCCTCCTCAGAATCACTAACGACCTCCTCCTCTCCTCAGACTCCGGCAATCTCAACATCCTCCTCGACCTCACAGCAGCGCTCGACACCATCAACCACACCATCCTGCTGTCCTGCCTGGAATCATCACTTAACATCACTGACACTGCACTCTCCTGGCTGAAATCATACCTCACCAACAGGCACCAGTTCATCCACATCAATAACTGCACTTCCTCCACTGCCCCTCTGTCCCAAGGCGTCCCCCAGGGTTCGGTGCTTGGTCCCCTCCTCTTCATCCTCTATATCAGGGGTGGCCAACCTGCGGCTCTCGAGCCGCATGCGGCTCTTTGCCTAGTTCCATGCGGCTCTTCAGTTCATATCGAATTGTGTGAGTTTGGGGGAGAGACACTGACTCCTGACAAGTGTTGCACGGTGTACCGATACTTGAAAGGTACCGCGATACCCTGCCGTTAAAAACGTTACGATTCCTCCGTTTCATTAGTATCGGTACTTTAAGAATGACGGGGAAAAGTACTCCGGTGAGAAAGCGCCGTTTTACTATAAGAGCCGTGTGTGTTCAGCTCTCTGCTTCCACTCCCTGCATTGCAGCCGTGCCTGCACTGCAGTCCTGCCCCTCTCAAGCACGCTCAAGTGCCTCCCCTCTCTCGTGCACGCGCTAGCTGCCAGAGCATGTGAGAAAACGAGAAGCATGGCTGCAAGTGGGAGTGCAGCTGCCGCTGCGCCTCAGCCTGTTGACAAAAAAGACTCCAGAAGCTACATTTGGATGTATTTGAGCTATATCTCTGACAGTGAGGGCAAGCCTACGGACACCACGAGGCCTGTCTGTGAGACATGTATTAATTGTATTTAATACGAATTCTTGTCATTTATTTTATGTATCGTTCTCATTGTTTAAAAGTTTGTGTTATGGTTCTGGTGTGAAATAAAGCACAACAATTACATTTAAGACTGTTTCCCTTTTTTAAAGAAAAGTATCGAAAAATAATCGGAATCGCAATTCTTGATCGAAACCAAAATGTTGGTATCGTGACAACACTAGCTACTCCTGACAGTTAAACCTGATATTTAGTAGGTCTGTTAAATATTGAATGCTGATAATTCTGACGTAATTTGGCCGGTCAAAGTTGTTTGGGCTCGGATAAAATCGCTCCGTTACTTTCGTCCCGTGTTACTTTCGTCCCGGCTCTCCCTATGTGTGTATGTGTGGTGTCAGGTGTCAGTATGAGAGGATGACAGCGCGTCTAATTTTCCTGCGATGCAGTGAACCAATCACCTTTGAGGGGGGGAAACCTATCGTTGATTAAACACTATCAATTCCCCTACCATTGTCTTGGAGGGGCGCTGCACCCCCCAACGGAGCCCTGCGCCCCCCTGAAATTCAAGGTGTTTAAAAAAAAAAATATATATATTTTTTTTTTAAATATATATATAGCACCAAATTGCAAATAATCTATAACTACTGTCACTTTTCACATTGAACATGTGCTCTTTTATTAAATAAACTAAACGCTTTCATTTTAAGTTGTGAGTTTAGTGTTTTTGACCCTAAGAAACACTGATGCATTAATCAATAACAATAATCCACAGCTCCTCTCTCTGCTCCAGAGGATTTAAAAAATATATATCCCAATGCCACAAAAATGCATCAGTGACGTGGTTGAAATCTTGTCTCCAGAAAACAAAAAACTGAAACAAGCGGTATCAGTGACTGTGTGTTTGATGTGGCTCTTTGCAGTAACATAGAAAAAATGTGGCTCTTAACCTCTGACTGGTTGGCCACCCCTGCTCTATATGCTCCCCCTTGGAAAAATCATCCGCCGCCACAACCTCCAGTATCACTGCTACGCGGATGACATCCAACTCTACATATCCACAAAAACCATCAATGCCACAACTCACTCCACACCAACTGTCTCTCAGAAATTAAATCCTGGATGCAAACAAACTACCTTAAACTGAACAGCGACAAATCAGATATCATCATAATCGGACTCACATCCCGCACCAACACCACCCAGAACTTCAACTTCACTCTTGACAACACCACTCTAACCCCCTCTCCTCACATTCGCAACCTTGGAGTAATCTTTGACAGCCAGCTCAAATTCGATAAACAAATAAACCATATCACCAGGACTGCCTTCTTCCATCTAAAAAACATTGCCCGCCTCCGCCCCTCACTCTCCTTCCCGGCTGCTGAAACCCTCATCCACACATTCATCACTTCAAGACTGGAGTACTGCAACAGCATCCTGTTTGGTTCATCATCCAACATTCTAAATAAACTACAATACATCCAGAACTGCGCTGCCCGCCTCCTCACCCACACCCGCTCCAGAGACCACATCACCCCCGTCCTTCAAAACCTGCACTGGCTCCCTGTCCGTCAACGAATACACTTCAAAATCCTCCTGCTAACACACAAAGTTCTCAATAACCAGCCCCCCCCCCCCCCCCCCCTCCCTATTTTTAGCCCTGGAGTGGTACTGAAACTGAAAATGTGAATGTGACTGAAAGATATTTTGTACTGTATTATAGTGCGAAACTAAAAAAATTAAGTTCTAAAAAAGTTATTCTGCTCAATAACAACAGATGGAAGTAATACATTGTTCTCTTTCCATTGCCTACTGAATGAAAAATGTGTATATTTTAGTTTGTTTATTGTGAAAACTGTCTTTTATACAGTAGCTTATACTTCCGGAGAGATGTCCTCTGTGTACCTGGCATGGTTCCTGCACAGCCGCAGCGAGCCTCTTTGGAGCCTCCGCCGGAGCAGAAGGAGCAGCAGTGGAAGGTCCCGACGTGATGCCTGAACTTCCTCTTCACATTCAGGGGAAACGGAGAGCCCTGCAGGGAGAGACAGAAGAGAGACGGGAGAGAGGAGAGAGACAGGAGAGAGAGACAGGAGAGAGACGGGAGAGAGACAGGAGAGAGACAGGAGAGGGAGAGGAGAGACAGGAAAGAGAGAGACAGGAGAGAGACAAGAGAGAGAGAGGAGAGACAGGAGAGAGAGAGACAGGAGAGAGAGACAGGAGAGAGACAGGAGAGAGACAGGAGAGACAGGAGAGAGAGAGACAGGAGAGAGACAGGAGAGAGACAGGAGAGAGACAGGAGAGGGACAGGAGAGGGACAGGAGAGAGAGAGACAGGAGAGAGACAGGAGAGAGACAGGAGAGAGACAGGAGAGAGACAGGAGAGAGAGAGGAGAGACAGGAGAGAGAGAGACAGGAGAGAGACAGGAGAGAGACAGGAGAGAGACAGGAGAGAGACAGGAGAGAGAGAGGAGAGACAGGAGAGAGAGAGACAGGAGAGAGACAGGAGAGAGACAGGAGAGGGAGAGGAGAGACAGGAAAGAGAGAGACAGGAGAGAGACAGGAGAGAGAGAGGAGAGACAGGAGAGAGAGAGACAGGAGAGAGACAGGAGAGAGACAGGAGAGAGACAGGAGAGAGACAGGAGAGAGAGAGGAGAGGACAGGAGAGAGAGAGACAGGAGAGAGACAGGAGAGAGACAGGAGAGGGACAGGAGAGACAGGAAAGAGAGAGACAGGAGAGAGACAGGAGAGAGACAGGAGAGAGACAGGAGAGAGACAGGAGAGAGACAGGAGAGGGACAGGAGAGAGACAGGAGAGGGACAGGAGAGAGACAGGAGAGAGAGAGGAGAGAGAAAGTGAGTCTCTGTCCGGGTCAAAACAAGCCAAATCAAAACTGAAAAGTGACAACACCTCAAACTGTCTTTCACTGATCAAGCATCCCAGACGATAAATGTTACATCTGAGGCATCCTGTTGAATTATGTTTTCCCTGAAGAACATTTAGTCCACGCTGATTTAATTTGTCAGGATGATGTTAGAAGCCCTGAGGCGGTACGCTGTGAGCTGCTGAGCCTCACTTCATATTCAAATATTCAAAACATGCCCTCTCCAGCTGCAACACATAATTAATAACTGTTTATACAGTTGTAATCGTGTGAAATGCCATTGCATTGATTTGAAACATTAATTGTTATTGGTTTATATGTTGTTGTGACATCTCATCGAGTCTGTTTCGTACGGAGCCCCCTAGGGGACATGGAGAACAAAAAAAAATGTATTTGAAAGAAATAATAATAATAATGTTTTGCGAGATATCGCAATACTTTTGCGAGATCTCGCAATACTTTTCATTTAGCTCAATGTACTTCCTGGTCAGTTCGGCTGCTACGGCAACACAGAAACCACAACAATGGAGCGGTTCATCGATTTTACTTTGAGCTTGGCCTTAAATATAATGATATAACATCAGTGCTTGGCAATAGGCACGGGTTTCACACATAAACTGTATATATAAAGGGTTTCACATAAGTGAAGACACCTCAAGAGAACACTCAGAGCGAGGGGACATGCACGTTCCTCTGAGCTGAGTTATTGACAGATTCGAATTTCGCGGATCAATAACTCATGAACATAACGTTGTAAAAATACAAACAACATGACTTTACAATCATAGCAAGGTAGACAACGAGCTACAGAGTCGTTTTTATCAGAACAGTTCGATACGCGCCGTCATCCGAGCTAAACATCAAGAATTGGTCACAATCCGCAGCTGGAGGAGGGAGAGGAGTGCTTAGGGACCGTCTACAAACTGCAACGGGGTTTTGCAAGATCTCGCAAAACATTTATTTTTTTCAAATAATTTTTTTTTTTCTTCTCCATGTCCCCTAGGGGGCTCTGTAGTTTCGTACCTTGACATGTTGAGCTTTGACACACACCCACACTGAGTAGGCTCCCATCTCTTCAGGTGTGTATGAAACACTGTAGGATCCATCGCTGTTGTCAACCACCGTGCTCTCCATTGTGCTGAAGGAAAGGAAAACACATCATCCTGTTAATACTACACAATATCATGGAGAACATTTTACAGATTTGTAATATTAAGAGCTCTGATTTCCTGCATTTTATCCCCTTTCATAAACTAAATCTTTGCTGAGATCTGATTCTGAATCAGCTGATTCTTAGATCAAGGGAGATTTTTGAAACAAGCTTTAGAAAAATTATTCTCCAACAATCAACCAGTGAACAACACATAGATTCATATATATATTGATATCCTATTTGCACAACAAATCAGCTAGTACATAATGCTTTTGATAAATTACAGTTCAAATGACTTAAACCGTTTTCACTGTCTCCAAATGTGCCGATTATTTTTACTCCAAAAAACGAGGCGCCTGGGATGAAACTGAGATGAAACCAAGTGTGACTGTGTGCTTGGCAGTAACAGCTTGGCACTGGTTGCAGTATATTTTGACTAAAGTAATCACAAGAGATGTTGTGTGAGTAATTGTGGTTTAATAATGCACGTCACTCATATTACACACTGTAGATGGAGCACATGGCTGTGTGAGAGTTAATAAACTAAAAGGGCAGGCAGTCATGCATGCAAGCTGTTGTGGATAACTGATGAGGGTAATAACCAGATATTGATCAGACAACCTGGCGTTACCACTAATGGAATCAAACAGCTTTTTCTCTCGTTGATGAATGTTTAATTAAAGTGAAACATGATCAACAGTTGTTATGTGCTTTTGGAGAGGCTGAAAGGGTGAAGCTCCTCCAACCAAAGTGATAAATATAGCACACTCCACAGGTGGGGGGTGTTTCGTTGACCTGCCCTGAGCAGCTGGGTGTCAAAAAAAACCTTCACACCAAAACTGCAGTGTGTGGCTGGAATGTCAACCAACCTCACTGTGTCCCATGAAAATACAACTCGCACAAATTGTAGCCGTCACTTCCTCCCGGACACTTCATGTCACAATAGTCTGCGTGGCACTAATACACACACCCCTCACCATATCTAACATTTCTGGTTGCTCTTTATTTTGGTTTCATTAACCCCATCACCGAACATCTGTATAAGCCATTTCCATACATGTATAATGTATTTTTAAAACAAGAAAGTGTATTTGCTCTCAATAATAATTAGAAAACGTATAATAATGATAATAATAATAATAATAATAAAATGCAAATAATAATAGTGATTCTATAAAAAGGTTTTTCCGATGTACCAGAAACTAACTAACAGTTGCTGAAAAATACATCTTTATAGTCTGGTGGAAAGAAAAACATTACTATTGGCCCTTAGTTCATGCTGTAGAGAATTCCACAGCAGAACATTTCTCAAAAAGCTGAAATGTCAGACTCTCAGACTCTCACCAGTTTTTCTTCTCCTTGTGAACGATGCTGACCAGGACATGCTCTCCTCCTCGAGCCAGCTGCTCCCCCACAGAGTCTCTGCACACCAACACGAAGAGACCCTGCTGCCCCTCAGTGCCCCTCTGCAGACCTGAGAGCAGTGAGGTGAGGTCAGAGGTCATGCACAGCTTGTAAACACAAGAGGCTGAAGGACAGATATACACAAACACTCCTATCATGGTTTAAAAGAGGCCCTATAACACTTTTGGGGGTTTTACCTTTCCTGTAGTGTGTTATAAAGGTTTGTGTGCATGTTAATGGTCTGCAAAGGCTAAAATCCCTGTGTTCCCACCAGAGGGAGTTTCTCTCACACACACTCCCCCAGCCTGAAAAGCTGGACTGAAAATGGACTCCTTTTATTACTTCAGGAACATAGTGACCTAACTATGTAACACTCTGTATTAGCCAGTGTTCTACGTCTACGCGATAGGCTAAGGGGCAGGACATCACATTAAAGCATGTTAACATGGGCCCCTTTAAATGTGATCCCACACACGTACTTCACAATAAAAGTGGCACTTCTGATACACCACAAAATGAGACACTTCAATATGTGTCTACAAACTACAGTGACAAACCATCTCACACAAAACAACCGCCCACTGCTTACTGAAGCGACATCCCCTTTAAACATGTGCTGTTTGCAGTCAGTGTAAGTGACTCCAGGCCCAGTTGAGCTTCAGTGCTGCTGACCGGAGTTTTTCCAAACCCTCACATCATTATTTAGTGTTTCATTAACTTGTACCGCTGTGCCCCAAGGACACACTCAGTGAGGATATTCATCAGCTGCTGTGGCGTTAAAGCAAACATCATTTGTGTTCCTATCGATGATTTATGTTGCTTTGCATTTTCTTGTCAGACTATTAGCCGCAGGATAACTAACGATGGTTCACTTTGTATTTGTGTTGTTATTCAGAGTTTTCCAGGAGCGTCTCTTTAGAAGCTGTAGGAGTTGCTAATGCTGCTTATGAAGCTACTAATTAAGTTTCTCCTCCGTCTATTTCTATAACAATACTCATGTTAATCTAGCTGTTTATGAAGCTGTGTTTGCTAATACTGCACTGTAACTACTACTGCTTGCATCAATGGTGCTAATTCTGCTCATCCGTTTTATAAGAACTTGTGTGAAACATGTTCATTTGTTTTATTAATATGAGAGGATTTAATCTAATCTAATGTCTGTTTTAAAGACATTAGATACTAAACATAGGATTTCATAAAGTATTTTTAAAATAGTTTATACATTATTCAAATATAGGAATAGTAGATAGGATTACTTAAAATATAGTACCTTATATTTAATCTTTTTTCCCTTTAGACCCTTGCGGTTTATTCTTAAAAACCCTTACCCACCCCCCATTTTCCCTCTGCTGGTCTATGGCCTTGTAGAGGGTAACGGGGTACAGAGTCGCTTAGATAAGCGGGGGAGTGCATCTGACGAAGAGATAGGTTGTTGTGCTCCCTATCTCTGTTTCTTATCTATATCTAATAGAACTGCTCGGGTCTTGATAGATTGAGTGGGGAAGTTCATGAGATCTTTCTAGAGGGTTATCAAGAATAACTTTGATCCAATGACCTTTTCCCTCTCTGTCTGTGTCTGTGTATTCTCTTGTTCCGATTAACCCAGCCAAATCTTTTTTCTTGTTTTGTATCTATATCTACGCCGGGATCCGGAGTCGAGGCTGATCCTCTTGCTGTAGTCCTGTGTCTTGGATCCTCTATCCTGAGTTCTGGATTAAGTCGTGGACTTCGGGTCGTGGCTGAACCTGTCTCTGCGGTCCTGCCTGGGGTCTCGTCATGCTGCTTCCCTGATGGCTTCCACAGGATTGTAGCTGACATCCTCGTGGATTCATCTTCTTATTACAGACACATGCATTTCCTAATATTCGGTCTATATGCTGTCAAATGTATTATCCCTTCGATTTACACACGGCATCTATTGCACGTCTGTCCGTCCTGGGAGAGGGATCCCTCCTCTGTTGCTCTCCCTGAGGTTTCTCCCATTTTTACCCCTTAAACCGTGGGGTTTTCTCTGGAAGTCTTTCCTTGTACGATGTGAGGGTCTAAGGATAGAGGGTGTTGTTTTTCTCATACTGATATTCTGAACAATCTGTGCTGTTGTATTTGCTGTAAAGTGTCTCTACTGTAGGCTATTTTTATTATATGTACAGCACTTTGGCTCGACCAAAAATCGTTTATAAATGTGCTATATAAATAAAACTTGATTTGATTTGATTAAAGAGGCCCAATTAAGCATTTTGTGGTTTTCTCTTTCCTGTTGTGTGTGATATATATCACAACAGAGACGGCCAGCTAACCAATCAGAGCAGACTGGGCTCTGGTTTCAGACAGAGGGTGAAAAGAGGGGCTGCAGCACAGACAGTATAAGAAAAATTAAGAGCTTTTAGAACATTATTTAAGTATCCCAGTAATGTATGTTGCATGTTTTAAATGTATTGTATTTACTTACTGAAATGTGTTTTAGGTTGACTTTTAAAATCTGTCCAGGGACTACAGATGAAAAATAGCCTCTTGGCTAACTCTGGCACATTTACAGAAATGTTCATTAAATGTGCACTGTCCCTAAAAAATTGAAGCATGGAAAACATGTAAAAATACAAATATAGACCTGAGAATGAGCGTAATAGGGCCCCTATAGGAAGAAACTGTGGCTGAATATTTAGCTGCAACTACATACATCTAAACATATAAAGGAGGATGTTCCTCTGCATTTTTGCTGCTATTAATCAAATATAGGATTGCTGGCAACAATTACAATCACTGCCTTTGCTAAAGCCTCTTGCGACGACTACAATTACTGTCACTTGGACCAGTGGCCGATTACTATTATCGCTGCTGCTGCTAATGGGCGGGAATTATCTGTGAATTTATGTGTGTGTGCCTGCTAAGCCGAGTACCCAGCAGCTGTCGTCGCAGCTGTTCTGGCCCACATTTCACCTGTGCTGCACTCCAAATCCACCACTTTAAGTCCACTTATCACACAGAGGGGATAATCACCAGTGAGCCTCAGTGATTTCTGCTTTCTAATAGTCAACATAGAAATCTGGCCCTTATCTGCCACCCTTAAATAAAAGAATCACACCAAGATGATGGGGGGTACAAACAACTTAAAGCTGGCTTAACTAATGTGATACCGTGGATTTATAAAGCACAATGCTACATAAAAAAAAAAAGTGTAGTTACGAAAAGAAAGTGTGGATCAATTGAAAGTTTTCCGCTTTATATAGCTTTACACACACAGTTTGTTACTGTCAAAAGCTAACACTTGACACAATACAGGGAGTGACATGTCGACGAACAATACACTTTGACAGACAGAGGACTGAAAATCCTTATTTGCTGAGATTTCCCACTTCCTACACAGGTAAACACTACTTAAAGTGTTCCATTGAGGCACGCTGTTACACGTCTGTGTGTGTGTGTGTGTGTGTGTGTGTGTGTGTGTGTGTGTGTGTGTGTGTTGTTCTTCTATTATGAAACCCTAGAGGTTGAACTTGTCTCTTGTTTTGAGAATAGGTCTTTCTTGCCAATGGAAGATGTCCTTTGTCCACTTGAAATAGTACTTTTGCTCCTTGCCCTCTTTCTTTTTCTCAGTGTGACTGTGTGTGTGTGTGTGTGTGTGTGTGTGTGTGTGTGTGTGTGTGTGTGTGTGTGTGTGTGTGCGTGTGTGTAAACATCCCCTCAGTGCTTTCAGGCTTGTTGAGTCACCTCTACATTCCTCAGTCCCACAGGGTCCTTTGAACTGAAGCACCCAGGAAGGTAACAATTTAACTTCTACAAGGAGCTCATGGGGGGGGGGGTCTACAACGACCCCCCCCCCCCATCCTGCTGCAAGTACTTCCACTGGGTGACTCCCACTAGAAATAGTTTGGGCATTCTTCCCTTCTGGCTAAATGGCCCCTGAGGAAAATAAATATCTAACATATTAGATGCTCTGAACAACAAAAGCATCCACAAAACTGAATGGATGATCCATGATTTAAAAAAATGTGAACTCTGTGATGACCAAGAGTGTATTACTAAGTGTATTAATAAGGATAAGTGTAATATTTATTTTTCTTATGGTTAAGTAATCACCAAATCACCTACTTTATAGAGCCTGTCGATACCAGCCTAAAGCCAAATGGATTTATATCAAATTCAATAAAATAGCTACTTACTGAAAATATTGGAAATATATGATTTTCATTTCAATGTAATATTAATATACTTTATTGTTATTTATTACTATGACCATTATGTGTATTTGTATGAACAGTATTCACTTTAATTCAAATGATGTCATGTTGACCGATGGACTTTATATTTAATCATCTATTTTAGCGTTGTCATGTACATTTTTCTGCTGTTGAGTTTCTGTTGTTGTGTTTTTTTTGTGTGTTATTTAATGTGGAAAACGAATAAATACAATGGTGAAAAAAAATAATAACGAAACACCTGTGGTGTACCATCATGCTGACATAACTGCATGCATTCATTTGGTTTACCTTCTCCTTCGATGGTGCACTTGCTGAGGTCCACCGTCTTGGCGTGGATCACCCCGACCACCGGGAAGCCCCCCACCTCCCCTGCCGGCTCCCAGGACAGGAAGCTGATGCTGCTGCCGTCGTCGGGGGCGACAGCCTCTGGGGGGGGGTCGTAGCTGCTCTCTGCCAGGCTGGTCAGTCTCCTCAGAGTCACTCCTTTAGCGCTCAGGATCTCAGCGTCTGACCCACAGCTCAGCAATCTCTCCGCAAACTCCACACTGCCGCCGACGTCCAGCAGAGCCTGCTGCAGCTGCGCCTGCTGCAGGTGGAGCAGGTTCCTGTCGGACAAACACTCAGTGAAGAACAAGCAGCTTCTGAACTGTGAACCAAGGGGGCATGTTGATATATATTAAAGTGAAAGACGCAGTACATTCTTCTATGAAAATACAGCATGCCTTATGTTTCTTGACATTTTCTAAACACCTTCTTACACAACCTTCCTTCTCACAATCCATTAATTTCTTGAAAGAAATATTAGTTTCTCATTAATTTTCTGAAAACTTCTCATAGGGTGTGGTTTTCAGAATGAATGCATTATCTCCAAGTCAATTCACAGAAGCACATTTTCATACTAGCATAACATTTTATATCTTTACATTAGAAATTAAAGTAATCGTTGCAGATTTAGACCCTGAGTTGAGATTGAAAGCAAGATGTATTGATATTATTACTACAGAACCACACTTACTTGTAAAGTAAGTGTGTCATTTACTTGCCATAATAATAATGTAATCATTCGTACCTGCGTTGGACTCGGAGCTCCTCCAGGCGGTGCAGCAGAGAGAGGCAGTGAGCCTCCACAGCGCTGGCGTAAGCTCGAGCAAACGCCCTCACTTCGTTCACTGTTGCATCCACCCGTTCCTTCAAAGCCTCCTGGGATATTTCCACCTGTAGCACAGTGGAAATAATGTCTTATTTTCTGTTTGTCTTGTGTTGCGTGCCAACTTGTTAAAGCACTTTGAGCTACATCCTGTGAATGAAAGAGGTATACAAACACAGCTTTATCATTACAGTTTGTTACTTGACAGCACTTAAAGGTGGCATAGGTGGTGATTCAGATAAAAGCCTGTTTATAAGTGTTTTATAAAGTGATTTAAAGATGAAACTGATTTTGCAAACTTCAAGAACTTTGTTCCACAGTAACAGAGAAAGTAAAATGTTAAGTCGTGAGCCTAGAGACAAGGCTCAGTGCACTTTCCCTTTTCTAAGCCCAAGTCTGAATGAACCCCACTCTGTTGCACCTTCAGCATGGAGTCCTTCAGGCGCTCCATGCGAGGTCGCAGGCGCACCGTGACCAGCTCTCGGATGCTGTCTCCATGGCGATTGATCACATTTTGAGTGGGGCAGCAGCGGTGGTCTCGGTGCAGCGTGGCGGCACACTCCAGACAGACGGGGAGGTCACAGGGCTGGCAGAAGAGCCGCAGCTCCTGACCCGGGTGCAGGCCGCAGAGGACGGGCCGGCTCAGAGACCCGCCGGACTTCAGGTCCTGCAGACTCTGGATGGAGTGAGACGCCGTCCGCTTCTGACGCCTTCAGACAGAGAGAGACAAACTCAGATGTGGTAGAAAATACAGCTGTAGGCCTACTTCCCCCAAACTTTCTTTACAACAAAAGGGGTTTAACAACAAGTGTCACACCCAAACAATAAACTAAAATTACAAGCAAAGATGGATTGGTGGAAGAAGTATGCAGATTGCTTTATTAGGTACCAATATATTAATTTCAAAATATTTCATTATGAGTAAAAGTCAAGATTCAAAAAGTTAACTTAAGAAAAAGTGCAGAAGTATTGTCAGCTAAACGTTACAATGAAATACTCATTCAGAAAAATGCTTCCATATGTGTAGGTTATTATTAGATTAGATTGTAAATATTGGGGCCACAAGTATAATTGTACTGTTCTGTTACACAAACTATGTTTGGGACTTTCTTTCTTAACTTTTTATAAAGTAATAGATATTTTTCCTTTTTCTACCTCAAACTGTTAATCCATTGGTTTCATCTTTAGAGATGCAAAATGTTTAAGTTTAACACATGCCTTTTTTAATGCAACATTTGAATCTGAATAGTAAAAAAATATATTTAAGTCATTCTTTCCCAATAATATGTAGGGGTATAAAGTTGCATCAAATGGAAATATAGTCAAGTTAAGTAAAATACAAGGAATTCAAAATCTCCTTATTTACTTCTAACCACTGCCAAGAAGAAGTTTGGCAGCAGATACTAAACTACAACCTCGATTACCGAGCATGAAAACAGTAAAGGGTAACATAACATACTTAATAACAGAATACATAGTGGTGTGACACTCCTACCTGTGCGCCTGGCAGCAGAACTCGCACAGGTTGAAGCAGCAGACTTCGCAGCGGCTCTCCGCGCCTCCTTCGCCGCACAGGTCGCACCCCAGCGGGCCGTCCGTCACCAGGGTCTCCAGGAACACTTCGTCCAGAGCCAGGTGGTCGGTGCTCAGCCCGGCCGGTCCCGACGGGGGGAGATCCACCTCGGAGTCGCAGTCGGGACAGAGAACCGTGACGGTGACGGCGGCGTGCTCCTGCCGCTCCGCCGTGTCGCCCTCGCGTTTTTCCGCACTGCGCGAAGACAACGAGAAGGGCTCCAACTGAGCGATACAGTCCGAGCAGAAGGTGTGCAGGCACGGGAGGATTTTAGGGTCCCGGTACAACCGTTTACACACGTTACAAACCGCCTTCGGGTTCACTAATTGTTCATGCTCCGAGTTTAATGTTTGCTGCTCCGGGCTTTCTGTCTGCTCGGGCTGAGACATTGTGTTTCTGGAAAGTGGTGGAGCAGCAAACAAACCACTGAACACCACCAGAGACCCACCGAGTTACACAAACCCGTCAGGACCGAACATAAACTTCAGGCTGCATAACGTATGAAACTGACACTAAACATTGTCTACACTGGGATAACAAACATGGTTTAATTCCCCTCACTGATTTAAATCCCACCGGACGGACCAACTTTTCTTCAGTAAAAGTTAGGCTGCGTTCAATGCACCCTGGGACATTTGACACCTCATTGACTGACAGACCAATAGGAAGCCTCTCACAAATTATGGGGTGGTCCAAACACTTTCAGGACTCTTTACTCTCTGTCTGGGACTCTGACTGTCCCCATCTACTGGCAGGACACGGCGATACGTTTTCAATAGGATGGAGATTGTTAACCGAAGGCTGCTGTAATAAAAAAGGTGTTTCAATTTGGGATTAATAAAGTACATGTAATGTATTGATGTTTGCAAGAAGCTGTTCTGTTGCCAGATATAATCAAACTGTTTCCACTAATGCTTGGTTCAAGTTTTGCAAAAAACAAACAAACAGCTAAAACACTGTATTGATAATTAGTATTAATTGTTAAGAAATTGCTGAGTTTTTAAAAAAGGCTGCAAAATCTCCTAGACATTTTACATTTAGAAAGAACATCAGCCATGTCAAACATATTTTCGTTGCTGAATTTATTAATGATTTTAGCAAAACTAACAATAGGTTATTCAATTAATAGAAGAAAAACCTTTCTATGGTTCTAGGTCATCATATAAACTGACCTTTTATACATTGTTTCACTAATTTATTATTTTTCTGGAGTTTCTCTACATGATCTAATCCCATTTTACAGATGGTGAAAAAGCAACTCAAGATAATGGGAATAGAAATGTTTACTGACAAATAATACATGACAATTTCACTTTAAACATTTACATAGATCTGAGAAAATGTTGCTTGAGAAAATGTACCACAAGAATGACATTCTGTTACACGGTAACAACACCCACATCAATAAAGAAAACAAAAACAAATAGCATCATCTTTAGAAATGACGGATTATATGTGTTTTGAATTTTTCCCTAATATCTGTATTTACTTGTTATGGGGATGGATTCAGAGGTCTAAACACAAACCATTTTGAATTAATACTTTCGTTGAGTTCTCTCACTGAATGCAACACTCACACACAAGGAGAATCACACCGAGATGGAGTGTGTGTGTGTGTGTGTGTGTGTGTGTGTGTGTGTGTGTGTGTGTGTGTGTGTGTGTGTGTGTGTGTGTGTGTATTTAGGTGATAGAATACATGCAAAGGACAGTGGTCATAATGCTCAGATAAGTTGAAGCAAATGGCATTGATGCTGTGCTGTAGATAAAGTATGTGTCCCCTGAAACATCAGAATCTGGAAATGAATAAAGGAGATTCAGTTAATAATCAATATATATAATGATTTTTTGTATTTTCATGTAATGTTGTCTTAAGATGTTGCCTTTGCTTCACTACTATTACAACAAATTAGCATACATCAGTGAATGTATTATAACTTTTGTGCACACATTTTTCTTAGATTTAATTAATCAGTGTTTCTCTTCCATGAAGTTAAAGGACTCGCTAGAGACACAATGATATAAGAAAATGGTCAAAACTAAAGCAGGGGCTGAACAATTCTGACTTCAGTCCCTAAGAAAGTTCAGAAAAGGACTTTCAAATCCTACATTTCCCATAATGCAACTCATTAAAGTCCTATTATTACAAACTCCCAGCCTAGTAATTGCTCTCAAACTCCACACTAAAATGTTTTAAACAGCCTCTTTGTCACAGAAGACATGTGTATAATCAGCGTGTTACGGCTTTAAGTGTCCCTAGCAGAGTGAACAAATATAATTTTTTTGACATGGGAACTTTTAGTGACATTTTCCCCTAATGTTCGATTTTTTGAGGCGTTTACATACACAATCAAACTCTTTTTTTAACTCCCTTTATTGATTTGTGGGACAAATGTCTTGGGAGCGATTATTCCCTTGCCCCAGAAATGATTTCTGACTCTAAATATCTAGCATAATCAGACATTTCTGTAAAAACATGGCATGAGGTGATAATGTCAGATTACCTGTAGCAGTGGCAGTAGAGACGGCGGTCACTAGGTCGTTCTGGATGCTGCAGGTGTAGGTCTGGCTGACGTTGACTGGCTGCAGCGTGCTGACTAAGCTGAAAATCCCTGCAGAGTTTTCTTCGAAGTTTGTGATTCCACTCAGGACCTGTCCGTCAATGTGAGACCACGTCACATTGGGTTTAGGGAGCCACCTGCTCGCCTCAGCAGTCAGGACGCCGTTTGAGAATTTAAATGAGGGGGCTGAAAATGCTGAGACAAAAATTGTTTTATCCATGCTGCAATGAGCATTTTCCAAGGTGTGTTAATAGTTTACAGTTAACAAGGTTTTAAATTACCAAAAAAGAAAGAAAATCAAGTATAATTAAAAATGTTAAATTTAAAACACTCAAATATAATATTTCACTGCCATATTTAGTAAGTAGGGCAGTGGGTTGGTAGATAAACACTTTATAAAAAGTAGAAAATACACTTTAATTTATGCTAACGAGAGTTCTGTTCAGTTATTAATCAACAACTGTTACACGCAATGACAATATGAGAAAAGTGGTTGTTACTGTACATCAATTAACACTTAAGATAAGATATGATAAGATAAATTAAGGTAAGATAAGATAAGACAAGATAAGATAAGATAAGGTAAAATAAGATAAGATAAGGTAAAATAAGATAAGATAGGTAAAATAAGATAAGGTAAAATAAGAAAATATATGATAAGATTAGATGAGATATGGTAAGGTGAAATAAGATAAGATATTCTTTACTGATCACAAATTAGGTGGTTGTTTTGTCACAGCAGCAGGCAAACAAGGCATTGCAACCTGTATTTAAGGCACTTAATAAAAAGGGAGATGGAGCAGGATTTGGCGGCTTCTAGCATGGACAACAAAACTTATTTTCTGCTGCCGTCTATTAAAGTGTGATACAAACTATCAAAAGTGGACAAACTATCAAAAGTGGACATACTGCTTATAAATGCTAAAAAACGTACCTTAAGGTTAGGTGTTTCCAATGTTGTCAGAGAGATCTATTTGAAAAGTAAACACTCATTGAAACCAGAAAGACGAGTCCTCTTACCTCCGGTTCTCAGGTTGATGTCGACCTTCCCCCCTCCCACAGAGGAGCTGATGCTGCAGGAGTACTCCCCCGCGTCACTGCCTCTCACCCTCCTCAGCAGCAGGGAGGCGTTCCCCGAGAGTAAAGCATCGGGGAAGAGTTGAGTCCTCCCTTTAAACTGGGAGTTCTGGTCACTGAGTTTTGGAGCTCCGTCCTCATACTGGTACACAAGTCCCGTCACCCCCGTCTTCTGCCAGCTCACTGACACACCCTTCTGCTGGGCGTTCTGACTGTCTGTGTTCATATAGCAGCTGAGGAGGGCATCTTCCCCGAGGTTGGCGATGGCCATCTTGTCTTTGCTCAGAACCTCCGAAGACCCAACTGAACCACAGACACATTATAGAGAATATCCTGATTATTAGTTTATTTAAAGGTCTCCTATTTTGCTATTTTTAGGCATATATTATGGGTCTCAGATATATACAAATATATAAAAAACATGTCTATGATGTGTTTTGCTCAAAATACCAAACAGATCATGTATTTAATACTTCCCACATATCCCTCTATTCCAGCCCTGTTAGAGAACTGCTGATCTGGGTCCTTAACTTGAAACAAACAAACAAGGGGGATCTTGTGCCTGCTCAGAATTCTACGAGATACTCAGTTAAATAATGCCGTGATTAAATGAATCCTTCCTGGCATTCGGAAAAACGAAGAATGGGACAGGCTAGCAAGTGTGCAGGTGTGTGTCATATGAGAGGCCCCGCCTTAAATTTTCCGCCACAGATTTTGGGAAATTGGTCCGTGCGCAAAGCATTGTGGGGCTTTTAAGACAGCGGAGGATACACATGTGTAGCCTTGAAATTTCTCGCTACGAAGGACGCCGGGCTCGGTAGAATTCCAAGGAGCCTGGACATTGGAACAGTCCTTCGGCGGGACACGATGACGTAGCATCCTTGAAATAGTGGCTCTGGAGCATCCTTCCTTGACATTGAGAAAAAACCCCTCTCTCCAGTACAGGTTAGCTCTGAGTGTTAGCGATGCCTGCTAATGTAAACAAAGACCATATTACAGTCGGGCATTGTTTCTGATAGCAACGTTTCTGATAGTGCCGTGGGTCCACATTTCCAATATTACGTCATATCGCCCGCAAATCTGGATCTGCTCCGTTGTAGCCCCGTTTTTAGAGATTTGGGTACGGAGGAAAAGAGAGAGAGTTTTATTTTCTGACTCTTTGTTAGTTCCCTGACACACCGGGGACACATATCTATATAAAAGACATCAAAAAGTGCATTTTGGGTAGAAATCTCAGGTTTTTAAAGGATTTCTTAAAGGTTAGGAGCTCAGTCTTTGAAATCCGTCATAAAACAATATTCACTCAGAAGCTAATTTATTGATCACTATGACAGGTTATTTTCTCTGTCCAAACTGGCTGTGAATTGCTCTTCCACAAGGGATTTTAATGTAAAACCTATGAACAAATCATGAAAAGGACAACCTCAAAAAGTACAATAGGGCCCCTTTTAAAAAACGCAAATCAGCCATAGTTAAAAGGAAGTGATTTAAATATGTTTTGTTGTGAGTTTAATGTGGAAAAAGCTCTATATAAAACCTGAGCCTTAAGAATCATCACAACATATGGTGCAATTGCTTATTAGCAAATATCTACACTGAAATATTAAAACTTCTTCTTCATTCTGCTTTTGCTTCTGTGTTGATAACCTGATAATCAGTAACATATTTATTAATCTTTTGCAGGGGTTGTAACAATACCCTTCAACTGGAAATCCAAACGTTACCCAATCCATTTTGTGGCCAAAACTTTATAAAACCATGTCTACATTGAATACAAAAAAGGAAGTGAAAAGGAACAAGCCACGTGTTTTCATCTCCCATGAGCATAAGTTCCCATGGCTGTCTCGACAAATAAGGTCTTAGATTGAAATTCAGCTTCACTTGAATGCACACACAGAGAGTTTTAAACACAGCATGAACACACCCATGTATCAGGTCAGGTGTGAGGATACATTAATAAATGATAAGAGGATCTCCTAATGAACAGTCTTACCTGTCAAGGCCAGGGCTAAAATGAGGATGATGACAGCCATGAATAAAATGATGAGGGTAACCATACTGCAAGAGAAACAAAAACACAGGAAAGAGTAAGAAGAAGTTATAATGCAACCTTGAGCTAAAATCAATTTAACAATAATTTTAACCTGTTAAGCCCCAAAGCCTCCCTCGGCGGGGGCTTCTTTTTTTTTTTTCACGACACTGTGTCTCAGGGCATCTTAATATTTAAGAACCTATTCATGTGTTATACCAGATTAACGGGAAGAATCTCAGCTAACTGACGATACAAACAATTTTTACCAAAACAAAACACAAGTCTCATAAGAAGCATCTAAATGACCCCTGAACACTTTGGCACAGAACTCAAGATAAAAGATACCCTTATTACTTATCGTAGCTGCACATACAAGATATCCGATTAAAGCTGAGGTTCCACAGATTATCTCGGTTTATATATCATCACTGAGTGATCCGAACTCGTGACAGGGGAAGCAAACACAGACATCACAACACGTACCTTTACGTAGCTTTTACGGGAGATCGTCTCACCGTAGCTTTCAATCTGATCAAAAGACTTGTTCAATGGCATTAAAACGAGAAAAAACGCGGCTGAATCGGTTAATCCATAGGTTGATAATGTTTCTGTGAAACAATTTGTTTTAATTTATAATCCATAATTCCATTTTTATGGAGAGTAAAAGTTAGCTGCTAATGGTAGCCACCAGAGTTATCGCAGCTTCCGGTTTTGGCTATGCGTCAGTCTCACACACACACATTACCAAATAAGGAGTATGAGGGAGTTCCCCTCGATTCCATTGGCTCTGACGGTTAGAAAGAGTCTCTTTCTAACTCCACCCTCATATAACGCCCATGGAAAGAGATGTCAATCAGCAAAATCGAGCAAGGGGGGGCCAGAGATAGGTCAAATCCACCCAAATGACCCCAGAAGTCGTTTTTCTTTGCTAAATCTGTCTAAAAAGGTCAAATTTCCCTTTTTTTGCATCAATCTAGATACAGGGTACTTATTATATGTTGTAGTTTGGATTCCTAAAGCTTTTAGTCTACCATCCCATCATTCAAGAGTGGTTTTCACTAGTAATTTTTTTTTGGACGGACACAATAATTTACATTTTTTTTATGTGTTCAATCTGAATTTACTTTAAAATAAAAACATCTATATTGATTCTGACACTTCTACATCCAACTCACAGGTGTAACCTTGCTTTGAGAAAACAGATTATTAATGTAACCCTTTTAGAAGGGAAGATATGGTCATTTGTTCTGGGCATGTCATTTTCGAGCCTGAGACCTGAAAAACAGGCTCGGGGCTTAACAGAAGTTTATATGTGTATCAGTAAAATGCATTCAAAGCGTCAACGGTAAAAAAAGTATTCATCCTGCAGAGAAATTACATATATATATATATATATATATATTACCCTGTGACTGGCGGAATTATTTTAAATCTAAAGTATGCTAGTACGGGGTCACAAAATGGGGTTATGAAAAGATGATTTTTTTAGTCTAGAAGGAACTGTTGGTTGAAAAAGCCGAAAATTTTAAGAACCACCTATTTAATATCAAACAAACCTATTTAATGAAATAATATGGATTAGAAGGAGAGGTAAATAATGAATAAAATACAAGTACATAGCACTCCAGTACAAACTTTGAGTAAATATACTTGACACTGTAACTAATTAAATGTTTCCAGTATTGAATCAACATCAATAAAGAAAAGTGGTGGTATGTAAGTACCTTTATTCTAGTATTGTTCTTAAATACCATACATTTTAAGCTACAATATACTTCTACTCCACTACATTGTAGGAGGAATAAAGTGCACTTTACTATTTATTTAATAACCATAGTGATACACTTGTACGTACAATAACACATGATAGACGTGATGCAGTACTCTATCTACACATTCAAGTTATTATAAGTGGCTCAACATTGACATACAAGATCAAAATGCTCTTAAATGCATTGGCTAGTGATAAAAACAAAATAATGTAATATTCTTTTATCATGTAATACTGTGAGGAGACATCCTGCATAATGAGTACTTTTTCTTTTGATACTATAAGTACAATTGACTGATTATATTTAGTTTTTGTGCTTTAGATCCAATTCAGGATTCTTTGTTTCATGAAGTATTTTGCAACCCTATAATTTCTACCACAAGAAAAGGATCTGATACTTTCCATAAGTGGTAAAGAGCACCTTTAAAACCTAAGTCCACACCTGTAGAAAATGATCTGCCCAAGGGAAGCCATGTCTGCTGAAGAAACGTCTCGAGAAGAACTCAAAATTAAATCCTGGTGTTAAGTCAAAAGTCAAGTCATAACCTTCCTCCTAAATATCCTCCATTCCTGAAAAATAATCCACACACACTTCTGCCAAACAGAGTTGTTCTACTTCCACAGAGTGACAGTCTGCTGTTTGGCCTTCCTCGCATCACTTTAAAGAAAACACCATGAGTAAATATTACCTTTAAGGCGTGGGCTGTCGTCACGGCAGCTCATTTATCTCATTAAAACGAAGGTGCATGCTACTTATTACCAAGCGAAGCCACCATCGATTCCGTAGCTTGTTTCCCAGAGTGATGTTTTGTTGAATATGTTGTAAACATTTAAAAGGTTTACTGTATGACGTGGATTACGTTCTTATTGGCTGCTGCTGGCTGCCATTTTGTCAAGATAATCAGCATGCACAATCGCTAAAGAATGATAAGTACCCTGGGTGTCCTCCAATAATTTACTCAAGGTGGAGAAAATGTCAGTGTGTCACGGTGAAAATGAGTCATACTGTAGATGACCACCAGCAGGTATGACATTCAAACTATTCAATGAAAGCATGAACACATGTAATTATTCTAAGTTTAACAGCTTTTCTATGGAAACGTTACCGCCATATAAAGCATTAACCCAATAAACAAGTGAATAAATTAACATCTATTTTTGTTGGATCCCTTGAGATTGGAATACTTACTTCACACAGAGATGTCATGGTAAACAAAATGAAAGGCATACTATAATATCATATTTCTAAGCAAAACCAACTTAAGAGTTTTGGATTTTTTTTTACAAAATAAACTATTTAAAACAGGGATCAATTCTCGTGTTTAAAACAACCTGGTTTGATTGCAAATATGCTGATGCTGCAGGGAGAGAAATAAACAAACATAATCAGCATTGGAAAGCACTGAAAACATGGATGGAATACCCCATTGACCACTGAATATGTTTGCCAACCATCAAGTCTGCATGTGACAGATGTTGTGAAATATGCCCTCAATGCAATAAAGCGATGGGAAACAAGAAGTGGCATTAATTAAAATAAACTCTCAGACAAGAAGCTCATTTCCAACAAAGAGAGCAGTCACAGAAGCTGATTGTTATAGTTTCTGAACCCTCACCCTTTTTGATTTTAACTAAATGTTCCAAACATTTATTGTGAGAGAGTGCTATCATCGTTAAATTACCCATAATGATTAACCAATCAGGACACAGGATACTTCAATGTTGACCCCTATTTAATCTAAACCTAAAGACACAGCCACCATTTAGGAAACTTAAACACAACAGTTTTCTGATCATTGGAAAACTGTCAAACAAGGTTACCCACACTAATACTGGTCTTAAAATAAATGCTAATTTGGTGATTTCCCCCCCCCTTAAAACCTTCCTTTGGGCCAGGGGCATGAAGTGTGTGTGTGTGTGTGTGTGTGTGTGTGTGTGTGTGTGTGTGGGTGTGTATGTGTGTATGTGTGTATGTGTGTGTGTGCGGTTGTGAGGCATGCCCTACTTCACTAAGCACGATGGTTAGCAAGCGGCTAATCATCACATAGCGGTCTATAGCCAATTAAAAATGAATGTTTTATGTCATCACCACTAATTCCACGTTTTGACCCAGATGTCCCATCTATGTGATTATTTTGTATTATGTGTGTTGTCATTTTACTGTTGTTCCATCATTGTGCGTTCGATAACATCTTTATTTTGACATGGCAATCGACACAACCCCCATTGGCTACAAACATGGCAACATTTATGTTTAAAGCAATATTTCAGGAATTCTGCCAACATGCTTTCTTTTTGAAGGTCAAATTACAAAGTTGACAACCCTGTGCATGAACTTCCACAACATGTTAAACTACTCCTTCAGTGATGTAAATAGTACCTTAAGAAAATGTATATTAAAAAAGATAAAATCACCCATGTATTATATTTGTTTTAACATAATTGTAAAATTAACAGCGAAAATAGCAGAACAAATGAGGATGTCGTGGGTCTGGGAAAAGTGCTGAGGGCTGGCACTTTGTGGTTAACATTTCTCATCCAAAAGTATTTAAAGGCAACATGTAATGCAGAAATTCTGGTTGACTCCTTTGTTAGAGCAAACCTGTTAGAGCAAATCTATTGTTATTAAGAAATAGAAGATAACTCAACTGCAGCTGACCCAACATATCTTACAACTGAGCAACTATCTTTCAGCCAGCATGTCTCTTCATTATCCTCAGAACCTTTTGGATCTGATAACCAAAGCTGTGAGTACTTTCCTGGTGATAGTTGTCTTTTTTACCCTGCAGTACATACTAGACATGAATTTTGTGTGCTCATGCAGCCACACCACAAGTATCCATTGTAACGGTGTACTCTACATGGTGGCCCCTCCTGTGATCCTCACCTGGGCTGTCAATAAGATTCAGTCTCTCCAGCCAAGGCAGGTTTTTTCAAGAAAGCAAATACTTATTCACAACAAGTGCTGCAGATGTTGTGTTAGGCTGCTGTTCAGCTTTTTCATTCTGAATGGTGTATGGGCAGCTACTGTTCTGATTGATGGAGATTGGTACTTTTGCCTGATGACGAACCGCAATGAATCTCAGGTTGGAATTCCTTGCAAAGAAAAGCTGGACTATGACGAGAGACGAATTGAGGCCCATTATAAGTCTCAATCCATGGTAAGTAACAGCACACAGCACTCAAATATGTAAAATTATACCAAAGGTTTTTGGAAAATGGAAATGTCTTACGTCAATCTTCATGCTAATGTAATTTATTTTACACATTTGGTCATATATTATGTTAAGACAATGTAAAGTATTTCGCATGTATGTTTTATTTGCTGATGTTGCCATGTAGCTGTCAAACAAATTGTATAAAACCACAGAAGAATCATATTTTCTCGAAAAGTTAAACTTTCGATAATAATAATAATTACTAAGGATGTTTATTATTGCACATAATAGGCTACTTAAGTAAGTCATACCCAAGTTTTTGTCAAATTCAAGTTTGAATGAAACAACAAAATTAAACTTCTGTTAAATTTGAACTTTTTCTATTTTCTAGGATTATGGATATTGTGTATTCTTCGGTGTCATTTTTTTTGGGATTATTGTTGAATTCATGACAATTAATTGTGGAAGAAACAAGATGGATTGCTGTTGTGGCCTCTTCAAGCTGTGTAACACACCTTTCTACAAAATGGTTTATAGATACCTTCTGAAAGAGCAAGTCAATAGCTATTTACAAAAAGAGCTAAACGACCTAGCAAAAGAACGAGCAGAAGCAATCTGTAAGCCCCTCATTAAAACAATTCACCTTAAAGAGAGTGAATCCAATAGAACAAGTAATGACACTTTAAGCATCAACATCACAGAATCAGAAGCCTGGTGGACCATATCAAAATTATATTTGGACTCGGTGGAACCTGAGGAACAACCGGATTTAGAAGCAAGACCACAGACGACAAACCAGGAACAATCATCAGGAAGCACAGAGTTGGCTGGCCCCTCAAACCAGGAACAATCACCAGGAAGCACGGAGTTGGCTGGCCCCTCAAACCAGGAACAATCACCAGGAAGCACGGAGTTGGCTGGCCCCTCAAACCAGGAACAATCACCAGGAAGCACGGAGTTGGCTGGCCCCTCAAACCAGGAACAATCACCAGGAAGCACGGAGTTGGCTGGCCCCTCAAACCAGGAACAATCACCAGGAAGCACGGAGTTGGCTGGCCCCTCAAACCAGGAACAATCACCAGGAAGCACGGAGTTGGCTGGCCCCTCAAACCAGGAACAATCACCAGGAAGCACGGAGTTGGCTGGCCCCTCAAACCAGGAACAATCACCAGGAAGCACGGAGTTGGTTGGCCCCTCAAACCAGGAACAATCACCAGGAAGCACGGAGTTGGTTGGCCCCTCAAACCAGGAACAATCACCAGGAAGCACGGAGTTGGCTGGCCCCTCAAACCAGGAACAGTCACCAGGAAGCACAGAGTTGGCTGGCCCCTCAAACCAGGAACAATCACCAGGAAGCACAGAGTTGGCTGGCCCCTCAAACCAGGAACAATCACCAGGAAGCACGGAGTTGGCTGATCAAGTAGCTTCAATATCAGGAAAGGAAATCAACTAAGTACATTCCCTTAAGTGTAAAATGTTGAGGTACTTCAGGTAGTTAAGTTGTGTATTTTCGTTTTCTGATTATTTATAAGGAAATCATTATAATTTTGATTTAAAGGTCCCATGTTTTGGCCATTTCTACTGATCATAATTCCATTGTTGAGGAAGAATAGATTTACATTGTTCAATGTTCCAAACTCACATTGGTTTCTCATACAGCATCTCTTATGTTGTTGTAATATGTTAGTAACCAGAAAATGACACCAGCAGTAATGACAAACAGATGAGAATGCTGCGTGGGGTCTGGGTGCCGTGTTGGCGGGACGTTGCGGGGCTCGCTGCTCCGCCCTTTGAGGCTCGAGGAGCGGACAGTGTGAGCTGGATTACTGCGTGGGGTCTGTGTGCCATGTTACACGGGAGACTCCTGAGCAGCTCGGGAGTCCGCCCTGGCAGAGGGTGTGGCTGTTGTTCTATAGCTGTGTGCCAATTGGTCCAGACTTAGTGACGTCAATAGGCCCCGGAAGAAAAAACGGAAAAAGAGAAATCTCCAACGAGGCGTTCTGGGGCAGCATAGACAGGTACTTTGAGGGTTTGTGACTCTGCAGACCGTTTACATGCAGACAAATCTTCATAACACAAGGGGACGGGTAATAACCAGAAAAGCATATGATGGGACCTTTAAACACTTTTAATGAATTAATTACTTATTTTACCACTGCAAATTATAAAGTAAGCCATGATTTTTATATAATACAACTTTCACAATGTGATTTCCTCTTCCAATCTACAACAAAAAGGGTTATTATTATGCGACAGATGGTAAAACCTTCTCACAGATCCATTGCAGACTTGTGTTACAAGACAAATCATTCCAGTTCTTAGAATTCTGCCCTCCAGTTATGATATGTGCACAGTCCTCATCCCGAGCTCTTTATATCCTCCACCGTTATCGGGTTGAGTCGACCGCCAGTACCTATCAGGGGGAAGACTTTGTTAATGTTTGACATGAACAGAACTTCTCAATCATGCATTAATCATCATGAGCTGCCTTTTTGTA